GTATATAAATACAATGGAATAGTACTTAGCCATAAAAAGGAATGAAATAATGTCATTAGCAGCACATAGATGGACCTAGAGATTATTGTACTAAATGAAGTAAGTCAGAAAAAGACAAATACCATATGATATCACTTGTATGTGGAATCTAAAAAAGCAGCAAAAGTGAACTTACTTACAAGACAGAATGAGACATAGAAAACAAACTTATGGCTATGTGGGGGTGGGGAAGAAGGGATAAATTGGGAGTTTGGGATTGGCAGATACAAATTACTATGTTCAGAATAAATAACAAGGACCTACTGTATAGCACAGGGAACTACATTCAATGGCTTATAGTAACATGTAATGAAAAAGAATATCGAAAAGAATATGCATATATACACACACATATGTATAACTGAATCACTATGCTGTACACCAGAAACTAATACAACATTGTAAATTAACTCTATTTCAATTAAAAAAAAAAGAGGAAAAAAACGATCTGCTTCTGTCTGGTACTGTCATATAATAAAAAACCCAAGTGATGGGTTTTTTCTTTTTTTACACAAGGTATCAAGCGAAATAATTAAGAATTAATCTTCTTACTAATGTCTTATACCTCATACTATCTCTCGTAACTCATCACAGATCAAGTTTGACATTTCTCTTAAATTATTCTTTTATAGAATTCTTTCCTTTTAATTGATTAAACTCTCAGTTAGTAAAACCACTTTATTTAACTCACAAACTGTATTATAAATGGAGAACAAATTTTAAAATTGTAATAAAAGTTCATAAATCTGGAAGCACATCCAAAGTGGAAAGGATTTAAACTGACAAAGCCATAAATAAAATAATAAGAAGAAAAAAGAATTACCACAGACCAGAAACCATTTTTTTTAACATTATCAGTTATGGTAGAGAGATGCATAAAAATGGTACATTGCTATGACATGGGTTTTTTTGTTTTGTTTTGTTTTGTTTTATTCTGAAGATCATGAACTTTAGACATTTTATTTCTCTCTTTTTTTTTTTTAACACATTCTTACAGCTCAATAGTGGGGGAACTTCACTGTTCAGGGAACGAAATTGTGAATGTTTAACTTCCCAATAGACAGTAGAAGCTGACATTTGAATGCAGGTATGCATTGCTAATACACTCTATAACCTAATTCACTTGTGAAAAATTACCATGGGTACTACATATGCACTGAAAATATTTTCAAAGCACTAGAATACAATTAAAAGCCTTAAACCTAAAACTGACACTACTACTATTCTAAAATCTTATAGTGTTTCCAGATCATCTTTAGGAAATTAAGAGGTATTACAAAGTAGGTGGAAAACTGCATGGTGAACTGGGGAATCAGGACTCAGTTCCAGACTCTGCTTTTAGTTGTTTTGACTTTAGATATCATAGTGAACCTAGAAAACAAAAGAGTTGGACCTGATCCTGGCTAAAATACCATCCAGTGCTATAGGATGCTTCAATGGGCAGACGTCACAATTATCACTAACAGAAGTGTGCAGTCTAAACTGCAGCATAAGCCAACTTGAACTTTATGCAATGCAACATGCACCAAGATCAAATTATGTCCTTAAAAAGATTACATGCAACTAAATTCTGACATAGGTTAGTATTCTGGGTTGAATTCTATTCCCTTAAAATTCACATGTTGAAGTCCTAACCTCCAGAACCTCCAAATGTGACTGTATTTGGAGACAGGGCCTTTAAAGAGGTAACTAAGGTTAAGCGAGGTCATTAGGGTGGGCCTTAATCCAATGTGACTGGTGTTTTTATGAAAAGAGGTGATTAGGACACAGAAAGGCACAGAAGAAAGACCCTGTGAAAACACAGGGAGAAGATGGTGATCTGGAAGCCAATGAGCGAGGCCTCAGAAGAAACAACGCTGCCAACAACTTGATCTCATATTTCTAGACTCCAGAACTATGAGAAAATACATTTCTGCTGTTTAGGCCACCAGGCGTACTTTGTTATGGCGGCCCGAACAAATTAACACAGTTGGTTCTTCCATAGCTGCTCTGTAATCAAAGGATTCTAATGTATATAAATATAAATACTAGGTATAAAAGAAACATTAGGTATCTAATGAAGTAGGAAAATCTGCGAGGTCACGCCTTCTCCATAAACATTAAAGAGATCACTCTCACAACAGCACGCTCAGCATGAAAGCCCCACAGTGAGCGTGGCAGTGAGACTCGGCCACAGCAGTGCTCTGCAAGCAGAAAATAAAAATGGAAACGGTGGCTACCAGCATAAGAAAATCAAAACCACACAAAAGGCAGATTCTTTCACTAGCCTCTCAAGAAATGTTAAAGCGTGTTCACGGGGAATGGAAGACCTCTGGGTACACGGTCACCAAATACGCCACCCACGTGAAGGGACTAGGCTCTCTGGAACCTTAATTTTTTTTTGACTAATTATATTTATATGATTTTCCCCTTAAAGGGCAGCTTTATTCTCCTTGGGACAGTAGCATTAAGGCAAATAAACCCTGCTGAGCAGAGCTCTCACCTCTCCCTCTAGTGAATTCCCACTGCATTTTGTTTATACTTTTTAGGGCACTTACTAAATTTTGCCCTGGGGTAATTTGCACACTTCTCTGATTCCAACAGGAAGCAAGGACTATGTTAATTCTTATCACAACTCTTACCTCTGTACCTAGCTTAGAAATGTACACTCAATTAATACTCAGTAACATCCATTAAACAGAATTGAATTAAATTACCATTCAATAAACCACTGAAGTGTTATTTTCCCTTTAAGATCATAGGTAAATACATACCTCCAAAAGGAAACTGAGTTAGGAAGGCTACGTTCACACTGAGAATCACAAGAGATGAGTTTGGAGTGATAAATCAGGCGTGGAGCTCCTTATAATTTAAGGAACTTGGATTTTATCCTAGGGGTGATGAGATGAATTTAAAGCAGGAGAAAAACAGTTTCATATTTGCATTTTTTATAGAAAAATTAGTCTGGGTGCCAGTTGGAAAAGGAATTAGAGAGAATCATAATGAAGGTTGGAAGCTGCAGGTGGCAGTAAGTTAGGGAACAGTCAAGAGGTGTCTGAGTTTTTTGGTCTTTGTAATTGGGAGACTGGAATCATTGTCAAGCCAACCAAAGGACAACCAAGCAAAGTATAAAGGTGAAGATGACAACTTTAATTTTTTTAATTTCTTTTTCATTGGAGAATTAAGCATATTAAGGTATATAAAATGCTTTCTTTTGAAACACACAGCTTGGTGTATTTCTACACAAGTATATACTAATGTAATGGCCACCCAGATCAAAACAGCGAACACTTTCAGTACCTCTCATGCCGCAGCCTAATCAATAACTTGTTAATTATGAGGGAAACATAGTAATTTTATAGAGGAAAATATGGCAGATACCACCTTAACCAAGCTGTCAAAGTTAACATCATCCATATGAGACCAACTGACATCATGCATTTCCTGATATGATGCCCTGCAAAGGGCAAAGATGATGACAAATTCTTTGACAGTTTTCCCATCAGGACATATGGCCCTCAAATCAAGGCAGGCTCTGTGACTACACTGTCAAATAGAATAAAGAAGTGATGCTCTGACAATTTCTGATAGTTCTACTTTCTTTGTCCTGCAACTTTTGCTTTTGGCACCCGGCCCGTCACTATGCTACAAGAAGTCCATGCCGCATGGAGACCTTGCCTATAGATGCTCTACCAACAACCAGCATCAACTGCCTGCCTGCCATGGGAGTGGGCCACCTCGGACACCCAGCCCAGTTTAACCTTCAGATGACACCAGTCCCAGCCATAACTTCACAAGAGATGTCAAGGGAAAACTGCTCAGCTGAGCTCCAAATACCTGCAAAGCCCTGGGAGATAGTAAAGAATTGTTTTTTTGGCTGGGAGGAGGTGCCAAGATGGCGGAATAGAGAGACTCACAGCTCGCCTCTCCCATAAATACACCAAGAATTACATCTACAAACTCACTGAATCGCACGGAACACATACTGAACTCTGGCAGAGTGTCTCTTGCTTTGAAACAGGAGGATTCTCACAAAATCCGATAAACAAGAAGTTTATACTGCACAGCACAGGGAACTATATTCAATATCTCATAGTAACTTATGGTGAAAAAAGAATATGAAAACAAATATATGTATGTTCATGTATGACTGAAGCATTATGCTGCACACCAGAAACTGACACAACATTGTAAACTGACTATGCTTCAATAAAATATATATATTATATATGTATATATATATACAAAAAATAAAAAGAATTTTCTTTTAAGCTGCCAGGTTTTGAAATGGTTTGTTATGCAGCAATGTTACGGTTTGTTATCTAACTAAAATAGTAGCTGATGTTGTAAAACTGTAAACTCCATGAGGCTTTATCTTCTTTGCTATGTCCCTAGCTTCTAGAACAGTACCTGGCACACAGTAAACAGAACAATAAATATTTGTGATGATGAATAAAGAAATGAATCATTAGAAACATTATCAATTTGAGGAAATGATTTGAAAAGCCACTTCTCTCTTAAACACTATTAAACAAAGTTGAAATGTTTGTCTTCCTTTGGCTTAACAAATTACTTGAGCAAGCAGAGAAAGTTTAAAAAAAATCATGCTATTAATCTTCTATCTACATTCAGAAGTGGGTGACACATTTGACCTACCTAAAAGTGGGTCTCTTAAAAAACAGAACGTGGCAACCTCAATATTTAATAAAGGCCTCATTAAGGATGTTGTTTTAAGGGCTTTGGAAACTCTTAAATCTGGTCCTTTTAAAATCTTTTATCTTACCTTTTGCTATTCCTCCCGAAGCACCGAGGTCAGCAACAAAAGGAAAAAGATGTAACAAAATAACCAAAGAGAAAAGGTGCTCATTTGCTTTGGTGGTATTGCAGTATTTTAAGTGGTTTTCCATTTCTAAGCTCCTTATATGAACCAACAGCACCAGCTGTGGACCAGAAAGAGGAGCAGGAAAGCTGAAAGAGAAATGATTGAACAGTGAATAGATAATGGCCTACGGAGCTGTAAACAGTTAGTAAGAGCTGAATACTCTATGCAGGGGTTTCCCTACACTAATAAAAGCCTAAATAATAAACAGGAGCCCACGTGTATTGTTTCTTATTTGGGTAATTAAAAAGTAGCATTTGTTTAAATACTCACAGATTCATACAAAGTTACATGAAATCATGCTATATACTGAAAACAACTAAAAGGAAAATAAAATTTAAATTTTACACAAAAGCATACTGCTGTGTAAGAGGCATCACTGAAAAATGAAAGAAAATTTTAGATAATTCCAAAACGAAGGTAATAATCTTCATTATATAGTTCAGTTAAATTATTGGATTACTTTAACTGAACCATTATGCTTACCCTGAAATGCAAGAAGGCATTTAATGAAAAATCTGGCTATATTTCGCATATGTAAGTGCTACAAAGTCTACTAAAATAACAAAATTGCTCAAAATCATTATCTTCAAATGGAATTTTTAGTACCAAACATATATGTATTAAATTTAATCATTACTTATCCCTCTGGAGTAAGAAAGCCTGAGGCTTATTTTACATATAAATTAAATATTGCTTATTTTTCTCCTTACTGGCCCCCTCTGCTTCCAGATGTGAATGTCAGTAATCAATCCTACATATAAATTCTTCTATAGTTTATCTTCTTTGGAGCCATAGGCAGAGTTCATTGTTATTCAGGTGGCATTATCATGGCTTTCCTCTTTCAAAATTAGATAACCTTTCCAAAGGTTATAATCTCTCATGCAACCAAGAAATCCTCCTGCTCATCAAGACTGCACACTGTTACCTATTTCCTCTCATCTCAGGGATTACTTCTCAACTTCCAAGTACTGGCTTATCTCATTTTGACTAAATTCTTGTCCCCAGATTACTCATTTGTGGTGACCAACCCGTTGCCTTTTTCCTCACAGGAAGCAAGGAAGACACAATCTGGGTATTACCTGCTATGTACTTCACAACATTAACACATTAAAAAAGTGACAGCACTTCATCCCTGCTCGGGATCGTGCTCTGCTACCTGGTGAGCCCCTCTTCTACAGTTCTACCTGTGTGCCCCCAAGACACAGTTCTGCCGTTGGAGCACTGACAGTGGCAAAGAGAGGCCATGGAATTAGTGACCCAACTGCTCTGAATGTAAAGCTCTGGCTTTTATAGAGGGACTTGGACCTAACGAGTAACTCAGTCCATCTATTCCTAAAGCAAAGGAAATGGAGTACCCTGATAAACAAATGGATAGACATTTCTTTTCTCCTAATGGATTGGTCTTTGTCAAGACACGTAAGCCAGAGTAGCTATAAAGCAATGAATGGTGGCTATTTAAGATGCATAAAACCATTTTAATCCTTTACATGTTCATTTCTTATACACATTTTCAGCTTGTACCCAACAAGCTGTCTTTAAGCACAGCTCCAATTCAGGGTGCTTTGAGCCACTTAGGTTCAGTCCCTGCAGGTACGAGGACAGACGTGTCCTCACCACACCACCTCTAACTGTCCAGGGCCCACCCTCCTTTTCTTGGGATTGTGGGTGTTTTAGAGCATGGAGAAGATATGGAGAAGGGAATATCCATGCACAGGCATTAGTCGGGGCCAAGCAATG